CCCCCCCCCAATCCCAAATCTCCAAATGTCCCCCCAGTTCTCCTCTCCCTGCGTTCCCTGCACGCGGCACTGTCGGAGCCCGGCCCGGGCTTCCCGCAGTCCATGTCCATGGGGTCCCTGGCTGGGATCCCCTTCCAGCGCCGCCGCAGCGAGTGGGGCCGGGCGGAGCCGAGCTGGGATCTTGGGATAGCCAGGGCTGGGATATTGGGATAGCCAGGGCTGGGATATTGGGATAGCCAGAGCCGGGATCTTGGGATAGCCAGGGCTGGGATATTGGGATAGCCAGAGCCGGGATCTTGGGATAGCCAGGGCTGGGATATTGGGATAGCCAGGGCTGGGATCTTGGGATAGCCAGAGCTGGGATCTTGGGATAGCCAGAGCTGGGATATTGGGATAGCCAGAGGCGGCAGAAGGAGCGGCACTGGCACGGGGCCAGCGGGGAGCTGCAGATGCTGCAGCAGCGGCACAGCCAGAGCAGGGCTGAGCAGGGGGAGCTGGGGCTGGGGGATGTGTGGGGCTGCGATGGCAACTGTGGCACTGCCACGGGGATCCCTGAGATCCAGGCTGAGGGATTAACAAATTCCCTGGCTCACAGCTGCACGGAATGTCTCCAGAAATATGTCAGATATAGGTGGGAGGCGCTGGAGTGTAAAGGTGGGGAGGGCACAATTCCCAGGGAATATGAGAATGGGAATGTGGGATTTGGGAGAGCAAATCCATGGGTGGGAAATCCATGGAAATTCCATGTAAGGATCTCAGACATCCCATTCCCGTAAGACCTCCACGGATGGATCCCACTTCTGTCCCATTCCCATGGGATTTCTGTAGATGGATCTCACTGCCATGCCATTCCCATAGAATTCCATGGGCAGATCTTCCCATCCTATTGCCATGGAAACTCCAGTCCTGTTCCCCACCCAGGCCCTCAAACTCTTCATGGGTCCCCCCTCATCCCCCCCATAATGGGAATTCCTGGGAGTCCCCCCATGTCCCCTCCCCCAGGACTTTGGGGGTCCCACCCGACCTGTCTGTGCACCCCCAGATTTCTTCCACAGCCCCCCTGTGATGGTGGAGGGTGGGGGCCAAGTGCTGGTGTCCCCCTGCCTGCAGCAGATCCAGCGGTGAGGGCAGTTCAGGGGGTCCCTCAGCATTTGGGGTCCCTTGGATTTGGGGTGACCCCCCAGGATCTCCCTGAACACGCTGACGCTGCCTGTGCGCAGTAAGAAGGTTCAAACCTGGCACAGGGTCCCCAGCACTGCCACCCACATTGCCCAGGTACCCCCAAACCTGCCGAGAACCCCCAAACCCCCCGGGACACCCCAACCTCCCCTGATCCCAAACACATCCCTGGATGCTCAGAAAACTCCCGAAGACTGCAAAACTCCATACAGAGCCCCCCCAAACCCTTGCAGGACATCAAAATTCCCACGGGACCCCCCAACACCTCCCCAGACCCCCTCAAGAAGGTTCATACCTGGCATGGGGTCCCCTTCTCCATCATCAGCAGCTACCCCAAAACAGCCTTGAGATCCCCAATTCCACCCCGGGATCGCCCAAATTCCCCCATTGGGACCCCTGTAAACCCCTTTGAGAACCCCAAAAAAAACACCATGGTCCCCAAAACACCCAGAACTTCTGAAAACCCCCAGGAAACCCTCACGAAGGTTTATACCCAGCATGGGGACCCTGTCACCTTCATCAGCATCACCCAGGTACCCCAAACCCCTCCCGGGACCCCCAACCCCTCCTGGGGCTTCACTGCCGGAACCAACGGGAGCAGTGTTGCCCTTTTAAGAGGAGTTACGATGGGACCTGACAATACCGGGGGCCCTTAAAGTGGCCATGGTAGAGAGAACCCCAAAAATCCACCCTGGGGGACAAAACATCCCCTACAGAGGCTTGGGTTGGGGGCACCCCTAAAAATGTCACTTAAAGCTGTCATGATCCCCCCTCAAAAGGGGTTTTTGGAGCTGCGGCCGCACAAACACCCTAAAAAGGCGGAGAAAAAAACACCCCTGTAGTGGTGAGATCCCCCCCAAAAAACCTGAAAAAGAGAAAAACTCTTCAAAGGGGCCTGAAGATCCTGAAAGGCCCTGGAAGAGGGACAAGATCCCCTCCTCTGCTGGGGCCTCCCTGAGCCGGGAACTCTCCCGTTCCTGCACTCGGGGGAGCCCCGAACGACGGCGGGTCCTGGGCTGAGCCCCCTCAGCCGGGGCTGTGGGGGGGGCTGGGACAGGGCTTGGGGGTCCTGGGGTGAACTGGGGGACCCTCAGTGCTCCCACCTCCCCCTGTCCCCCTGTCCCGCCCCGTTCCCATTGTTCCCCCAAACCTCCGCTGCCCTCCAGCTCGGTTTGGGGGGGACCCAGCCCTTTCCCATTGTGTCCCGGCCCGGCCCCGCTCACCCGAGGGCTCCGAACCACGCACAGGGCCAGAAGAGGGACAGAGAAGGAGGAAGAGGAGGAGCAGGAGGAGGAAGAGCTGGAGCAGGCAGAGGAGGCACTACGTGCGCTCCCCGCTCTCTGGATCTGCAGCTCCTTCGGGACCATCGCCCCCCATCCCGCAGGTGCCCGGGGAGGGGGAGCTCGCCCCAAATACCCCAGGGGTCCCTGGGTTTGGGGTTTTTGGGGGGGATGTTTGGGGATGGCAGGGCTCCAGAGCCGAGCTGCAGATGCCCCTCGGGGGGACCCCGGGGGCCCCCGGGAGGTGTTTTTGGGGGCTCCCGGTGGCGGTGGCAGCAGAGCCCCGGCGGGGCCGGGGGGATTGCGGGTCCGACACGGCCGGGACAGGGGTTCGGGGCTCCTGGTGCCAGCAGTGCCGCTCCCAGCATGAGCCCAGTTGCTCACCCCGTGTGGCTCCAGTTTCCTCTGTGCCCCATGATAAGCCAAATCACTCCCAGTCATTCCCTCTTAAGAGTACAATTTGTCTCCATTTTATCCCATTGTTCCACATTTTTATCCAATTTTTCCCCATTTTTTCCCCATTTTTGCTCTATTTTTTCTAATTTTTAACCCATTTTCATACATTTTCCCCATTTTTATCCTGTTTTCTATTTTTCCCCAATTTTTTCCCATTTTTTTCCTTTTTCCCTCCATTTCCCCCTTTTAATCTCATTTTTCCTCATTTTTTCCCAGTTTTTCTGATTTTTTTCCTATTTTTCCTCCATTTTTACTCAAATTGTTCCCCATGTTTTCCTATTTTTTCCAATATTTTTCCATTTTTAATCTATTTTTTCCCCATTTCCCCATTTTACCCTATTTTTGCTCCATTTCCCCCCAGTTTTTTCCCCATGTTGTCTCCTATTTTCCCCATTTTCTTCCATTTTTGCCTCATTTTTACCATTTTTATTCCCATTTGTATCCCAGTTTTCCCCATTTTTCCCCCATTTTTATCCTGGTTTTATCTCATTTTCCACAATTTTATCCCCATTTTCTTCCATTTGTTTCTCCCATTTTTCTCAATTTTTCCTCCATTTCCATCCCATTTTTCCCCATTTTATCCCTATATTTTCCCCATTTTGGCTCCATTTTCCCCCATTTTGCTCCATTTTTCCTCCCATGTTTCTCATTTTTCCCCCATATTTTTGTAGTTTTCCCCAACTTTTCCCCATTCTTCCTCCATTTCCATCCTATTTTTCCTCATTTCCCCCTATCTTCCCCATTTAATTATCCCAAAAATTGAAATTTGGGGGAAAAAATAAAAATTTTGATGGGAAAAAAGGGTGCTTTGGGGGCAAAACTCCATGAATTTGAATCACAGCTTTCCCCTGATTTTTCCAGCCGGAAGAAGGCGTGGGATTCATCCAAACATTCTGGAAGCTGGAAGAGTACCAGGCCATCAACCTTCCCAAAAATCTGGAGCAGCTCATCCGCAGTTCCACCTTTCCCCACTCCCCGGATTCCCAGGTCTGAAAATTCTTCTATGACCTCCCAGGTAGGCAATTCCCAAAATTCCATGGAAAAATGGGATAGGGGGATTTCATCCTGTTTTTTTCCTGATTTTTCCCATTTTTTTCCCATTTTTTATCCCCATTTTTTCCTGCTTTTTCCTGATTTTTCCAGATTATTTTCCTCTTTCTTTTCCTCGCTTTGTCCCAGATTTTTACCATTTTTTCCCAAAACTTTTTACAATTTTTTAACTTTTTTCCCCATTTTTCCTGTTTTTTTCCCATTTTTTTCCCCATTTTTTCCTGATTTTGTCCCAGTTTTTTCCTAATTTTCCCCTCTCTTTTCTGATTTTTTTTCTGATTTTTTTCTGATTTTTTCCTTCCTTTTTTTCCCAATTTCTCCCAATGTTTTGCCAGTTTTGTATCAAATTTTCCTGATTTTTCCCTCTTCCCAAAATTTTTTGTCTTTTTCTCAAATTTTTCCCTGATTTTTCTGGTTTTTCCCATTTTTTTCCCCATTTTTTCCCTGATTTTCCCCCCATTTTTCCCCTGATTTTCCCCCAATTTTTTTCATATTTTTTTTCTGATTTTTCCCAGGTTTTATTCCCGTTTTCTTTTCCTGATTTTTCTATATTTTTTCACAATTTTTTTCCTGATTTTTCTCTCTGATCTGCCCCAATTTTTCCCCATTTTTTCCGAATTTTTTCTAAATTTTGCCTGTTCATTTCCTAAATATTTCCTGGCATTTTCCCAATTTTTTTCCCATTTTTCTGAAGTTTTGTCTCCATGTTTCTTTTCTTCATTTGTCCCTTGATTTTTTTTCTCTGTTCCAAATTTTTTCCACCATTTCTTTTCCGATTTCTCCCCATTTTTTCCTGATTTTTCCCTATTCTTTTCCTGTTTATTCCCCAATTGTTTCACAATTTTTTGCTGATTTTTCCCTGTATTTCCTAATTTTTTTACTGATTTTTCCTGATTTTTTTCCAGGTTTCTTTTTTCTCTCTTTTCTCGATTTTACCCAATTTTTTCCCGATTTTTTCCGTTTTTTTCCTGATTTTTCCCTTTTCCTTTCCCAATTTTTTCTGGTTTTCCCCATTTTTTTCCTGATTTTTTCATTATTTTTACCTGATTTTTTTATTATTTTTTTATCCTTTTCCTGTTTTTTTTCTCTGATTTTCCCCATATCTTTATTTTTTTCCACGTTTTTTTTCTAATTTTTTCCCAGTACTTTTCCTGATTTTTTTGCAAGCTTTATCAAACATTTCTGGTTTTTCCTGGATTTTTCCAATTTTTTTCTGAATTTTTTCCAGATTTTTCTGATTTTTCCCAGTCTTTTCAGCTTTCTTTACCTGATGTTTTCCCTGATTTTTCCCAATTTTTCACATTTTTTTCATGCCTTTCCTATTTCTTCCTGATTTTTCTCTCTTCCTTTCCCAAATTTTTTCTATCTTTTTCCTGATTTCTTCTCAAATTTCCCTGAGTTTTCCCTGATTTTTTCCCAATTTTTTCCCATTTTTTCCTACTATTTTTAGATTTTATGCCTTTTTCTTTTCCTGATTTTTCCAAGTTCTTTCCCAGTTTTTCTCCTGATTTTCTCAGTTTTTTTCCAATTATTCCTTATTTTTCCTTCTTTTCCTATTTTTCCTGATTTTTCCCCCATTTTTTCAAGATTTTTTCCACTTTCTTTTCCTGATTTTTCCCCCAATTTTTCCCATTTATTCCTTGTTTTCGCTTTTTTTCCCAATTTTTTCCTGGTTTTCCCCATTTTTTTTGATTTCACCCTGATTTTTTTTCTTTTTTTCCCCCCTGATTTTCCCCTTCTATTTTCCTTTAATTTTTCCTGCATTTTTTCCCATTTTTTCCCCAATTTTCCAGTTTCCTTCACACTCCCAGTATCATCCCAGTAACACCCAGTCTGATCCCAGTCACTTACAATCTAATCTCAGTCACTCCCAGTATGAGGCCAGTGGCCCCCAGTTGCTCCCTGTCAGTTCCAGTATGACCCCAGTAGCCTCCAGTGTGATCCCTGGGACTCCCTGTCTCTCCCAGTATATCCCAGTCAGCTCCAGCATGCTCCCAGTCATTCCCAGCTCCTCCCAGTTGCTTTCAGCATGATTCCAGTTGCTCACAGCCACTCCCAGTCAATCCTAGTATGATTCCAGTCACCCTCAGTGGGATCCCAGTCTCAGCCAGCAGGGACCCAGCTGCTCCCACTGTGATCCCAGTATGATCCCAGTTGCTGCCAGAATAGTTCCAGCTGTTCCCAGTTCCTACCAGTATGATCCCAGTTGTCCCTGGAATAGTCCCAGTCCATCTCAGCATGGTCCCACTCACTCCCAGTTGCCCCCAGGGTGGTTCCAGCTGTTCCCAGTGTGGATCCATTCACCCCGCTATGATTACAGACCTTCCCAGTATATCCCAGTTGCCCCTGTAAGGTTTTAGTTACCTCAGAATGATCCCAGTCTTTCCCAGTGGCTCCCAGATTCTCCCACTATGACCCCAGTTGTGGTCTCAGTCCCCTCAGCATGGTTCCAGTACCTCCCAGTTGTTCCCAATGTGTCCACATTTTCCTCCCAACGTCGGTCCAGTAACTCCCAGTAACCCCCAGTCAGGTTCTGTTCACACCCACTGTTACCCCAGTGGTTCCCAGTGCTATCCCTGTAGGAGCCATAGTCACTCCCAGTATGGTTCCAGTCACTTCCAGGATGATCCCAGTCCCTCCCACTACAATCTCAGTCACTCCCAGTATGAGCTGTTGTACTAGCCACCCCCAGTATGGTTCCAGTCACTCCCAGATCCTCCCAGTATGATTCCAGTCATGGCCAGAGTGACTCCCTGTCTCTCCCAGGGTTGGCCCATTTGCTCCCAGTCACCTCCAGCATGGTTCCAGTCCCAGCCAGCACCTTTGCAGTCACTCCCAGTATGATCCCAGCTAGTTCCAGTAGGATCCCAGTATGACCCCAGCATGGGCACAGCTGCTCCCAGGATTATCCAGTGTGCTTCCAGTTGCTCCCATTTTCCTGCACTGTGGTTTCAGTCTCTCCCAGTCTATCCCAGTTTCTCCTAGTCACTCCTCAGGTGATTCCAGCCTGATCCCAGTTGCTCCTAGCCACTCCCAGTCACCCTGAGTGCAGTGCCAGTTGCTGCCAGTATGGTCCCAGTCTTGCCCAGCATGGTTCCAGTCACTCCCTGTTGCTCCCAGTGTGATCCCAGTTGTACCCAGTTGCCCCCAGTATAGTCCCAGTCCCTCCCTGGATGATCCCAGCCCCTCCCAGCACAGTCTCAGTCATGCCCAGTTGCCCCCAGTGTAGGTCCAGTCACTCCCAGTTGTCCCCAGCACGGTTCCTGTTGTCCCCAGTGTGATTTCAATTTCCCCAGTATGGTCACAGACATTTTCAGTATATCCCAGTTGCCCTCAGCATGTCTGTGCTCATTCCTAATCATTCCCAGTTACCCCAGTACAAACCAGTCCCTGCCAGTGCTGCCACTCCTGGGATCCCCCAGCCCTCTCTGTGTTCCCCCTTCCTGCATGTCTCCAGAGGAGCCCCAAGGGATGGCAGTCCCCAGCCAGGGTCCCCAGCTAGCCCCAGGTTGGATCTGCAGCCCCCAATTTTCCCAGTTTCCCTCTCCTTTGCCCCAGACCAGGTTCCCCCCACCCCCAGCGGGTGGGAGCAGCCGAGAGCCCCGCGCTGCCCATCCCGACCTGTCCTGGCTCCATCCCCGCTCCTGCCGTGGGCTGTGAGGGGTCCGGGAACGGGGCACCGAGGGTGTCACTGCTCCTGGGGGGGGAGGAGGAGGGATGGAAGAGGAGGAGCAGTAGGAAGAGGAGGGACAAAGGAAGATCATGGAAAGGAGAAGGAACCACAAGGTCGAGCACTCCCTGAATTCACAGCCCCCACATGTGGGATCATCACCCCCCATCCCACAGGTGACGAGGGAGCAGGAGCTTGGCCCAGATATCCTGGGGGGGTCCTAGGTTGGGGTTTTTGGGGGGGATGTTTGGAGAATGAAGAACTCCAAAGCTGAGCAGCAAATGCCCCTTGGGGGGACCGTGGGGAGTCCCAGCATCCCTTATTGAGGAGATGGAACTGGGGGGAACTTTTCAGATACCTGGCACTCCCAGCAGCCTGAGGAGGGCAGGGACCAAGTAGACAGAGGACCCCCACACTTGGGTGCAAGCGTGACCCCCAGCAGCTGGGACGGAGGGAACCACTGAACACCAAAAGGGAGAGACCAGAGAAGGGGAACTCCTGGGAGGCATTTTCAGGGCTGAATCTTGGTGTTTGGGAGGTTTTTATGGATGGCTGGTGACTTCTAGAGATGGACTTGGGCAGAACAAACGCCCTAACCCAATGTGCTCGTGAATTTTATTTTTCCCCAAACCAGGATTTCCCATTCTCAAATCTTGGCCAGATGGACAAGTAGGGTGCGAGGAAGAGGAAGATGCTGCGGGACACCCAGGCAGGTGAGGAGGAAGTCAGTGCCCCTTTCCCCTTCTCTCCTGCTCCATCTCCCAGCCCAGCATGGCCCCCGGCTGCAGGACAACCCTGCTGCCGACGCCGTCCTGCCGGGGATGCACTGGGGGAATCTCCTTCCCCTTCCCTCTGGCACGGAGGCAAATCCCATCCTCTCCTTGTCCTTCCTCCCCCAGACAAGGAGCTGAGGATGGAGACCAGGGAGAACAAATCCCCCCGGCAGAAGCTCATGGAAGAGGCTGTTCTGAGCAGCTCCGCAGCACAGGAATCCAATGGGGAGGAAAAGCTTCAGAGGTCCTGCAGGAGGAGGGGCTCCAAACCCAGCCCAGGGTGCTCTGAGGAGGAAAGACCCACCCTGTGCCAGGAAGGCGGCCGGAGATCCAGCTGGGGCTCTGAGCCGGTAGTCCATGAGCAGCTTCAGGATGGGGAGAAGCCCTACAAGTGCTTGGAGTGTGGGAAGAGCTTCAGCCAGAGCAACCGCCTGATCCGCCACCAGGTGATCCACACTGGGGAATGAGCCTATGAGTGTGGGGAATGTGGGAAGGGCTTCAGCTGCAGCTCCGAACTCATCATCCACCAGCGCAGCCACACTGGGGAGAGGTCCTATGAGTGTTCTGAGTGTGGGAAGAGCTTCAGCCACAGCTCCAGCCTGATCTGCCACCAGAGGGCCCGCACCGGAGAACAGCCCTATGAGTGTGGGGAGTGTGCAGTGACCTTCAGCCAGAGGTCCCAACTGATCATCCACCAGATGATTCACACTGGGGAGGGGCCCTACGAGTGTCCCAAGTGTGGGAAGAGGTTTCAGACCAGCTCAGATCTCCTCGTGCACCAGCGGATTCACACGGATGAGAGGCCTTTCCGCTGTCCCAGCTGCTGGAAGGGCTTCAAGCAGAACTCCCAACTCATCACCCATTGGCACATCCACACTGGGGAGAGGCCTTATGAGTGTCCCCTGTGTGGGGAGAGCTTCAGCCAGAGCTCTCACTTGACCCAACACCAACAGAGGCATCGGTAAGGGAAGCCCTGCAAGTGCCCCGAGTGCGGGAAGAGCTTCATGCGCTGCTCCAGCTCCATCCCCCATCAGAGGACTCATGTTGGGCAGAGCCCTGATGACCCAGGTTCCCAGTGATCTGTGTTGGGAAGACACTGGGCTGGTGGTCGTTTTATTTTGGTTCTATCTCTTGATTCATCTTCATCCCTTTAAAACAGACAAAATTGGCGTAGAAGTCTACAAATTTGTCAAAGGCATCTAAAGGTTCACTTTTTCTTAGTGCTTTAAGGGAATCTGGGGATTCAAAGAGATACTTGGGAGGACTTGGGGATTGTGGGGGTATCTGTTGTAGTTTTCTTCATTTCTTGTCACTCAAAGAGATGAGAGGGTTCAATCTGTCACCTCAAAACCACTCAATGCCTCTGACTACTACTCAGTTCCACCCCATAATAACTCAATTCCACATCCTCTCAGGGTGTGATGTCTCAAGTTTTAGCTTTCATATTTTTCATGTTCTGCACTGCCTAGGTTTGTAGTTTTGGGCTTCACATTAGGTGTTAGTGAGCTCTCTTCACAGAGTAGGTAGACAAAACAATTCCTTTTCTAGCTTGATACCAAGGACAATTGTTACAAGTTCCATGCCCAAATGCATAAACAAGGGTGGACTGAAGAGAGAAAACAAGGATGGGACTTCCTCATCTGAAGCTGTAATTGGACAATGAACCCAAATATGCAGATGAACCTAAACTTATAAAAATGTGAGACCTTGTGATCGCTTGTCCATTTTGGTGACCATTTCTGGTCCATCTTGGGTGTAGCCCTGTCCAGGCTCTTGTAGTGCCCATGGTGTATTTCAATTCTTTTAATAAACTTTATTCTTAACTCTCTCTGGGCTCTGTTCTAGGTCAGCCTTCTGAAGGTATCAGGTGGAATGGGGTTGGAAGGGGATTGGGTGAAGTGGGATGCAAATCAGGGGAGGGGTGAGATGGGCATTGGGTGGGGCAGGATGGGTGGGATGGAGTTTGGGAGGTGTGAAATGGGGGAAATCGGGCTTGGGAAGGGGTCTTGATGTCCAGCAGGGATGGGATGGGTTGGGATTGGGGAGGTGGG